ACCACTCGGCAGGTCCGTGAGCTGTGCGAGCGGCGGCTGTGATTTCCCCGGGCAGAGCATCCCGCGCCGGCCGGGCCGGAGCCAGCCCTGCCATGAGACAGGCTGTGAGCTCCCCCTAGTCGTCAACACCCGCCACTGGCAGCCGGGCCACAAGGCCCCCATCCGCAAACAACGCGGAGCGCAGAGCAATGCAGGTAGGAAACGTGGAAGAGAAGCAAAAGTCTTCTATGAGGCTTTTTTTTCTTTTTTTTTTTAAGCGAAAAGATGCGCTGGCAGCAAGCTCAGCCCTGGGAAGAGCCGCTGAAGAGGTGTCAACTGAAGTCGGTAACTGATATCAATAATTTGTACTACTTCTACGAGCGCGCACTCCTCTAAGTCATAATTATTGTCAAATATGCCACAAGACAACCCTTTGTTCTGCAGAGAAACATACATTTTGCGCAAGACAAGGGCTCCAACCATTCCTATTAAAAGCAGCCAGGTTGTAAAATCTTGAAGACTTTTATTTCTCAATATTTAAATAAGCCTGACAAAATATGCTCTGCATCTGCCGACCAGCAAAAAAATGCAAAATGATTTCTCACCCGCTGTACATCTATTTAAGCCACTGAGCACATCAACCAAAAAGGACGGAACAACCTAAATCCACAATCTAGTTACTGTGCCAGTTTTTAAAAAAATACTTTAAAAGACCAGAAAGTATGAAAATGTGACAGTATTTTTTTTTTAATCTCGTAAGTCTGATACAAATATATTCAAATGGAAGGCAACCTGGAAGTCGACAGCACACAACGTGGTTTTTTTTCCCTGTCCTATTTAAAGCCAACACATGTAACGTCTTTTAAAAGCACGTTAAGCTTTTCTGTGCACAACTATGCGGGTATTACGAAAAAGTCAGCCATCTCCAAAACAATAACAATTTCCTCTCTAATTCTTCAGTCACCGCTTACGTTCCCTTTGTATTAACGTTGATTACACTGGTGTGGGTTTTTTTTTCCTGTAGGAAAAAGTGCATTAATTGCACTAAATCTAAATGCATTTTAAGAGAAGCTCCTTGAAGCAATTTGCAAAACTTTGACATGCAAAAAATCATAGGGGTTTTTTTCATTATTTTTAATGACTACATACAAATACAAAGCGATAAAGGAAATTATTACTCTTCCTAGGGAACCTGTTGACCAGGTACTGAGGAGCCTCCTTGGGAAACCTGGCTTTCTACCTGGAATTCTACGATTTTACTGTGCCTTGCCCTCCCAATCTTTGCTGCTGCTCTGCAGAAATGCTCTTGCCTTGCCGCCTTCTGCAAAACTGCTATCAGTGAGCTTTTCACATGCTCCCTCGCCTTTCACATTGCCTTCAAATGTAAAACGCAGGGCCAGTTTGAAAACAGATTTCTCAAGTTAAAAAAAAGCAGATCTTAAGCTGGAAAATCAGCAATTTGAATCAAACCAAAATAACGTTTCTTTGCACAGAGCAGCTCAACAGCTCAGCCTCCTCTACATCATCGCCTCTTTTGCTTTGTCCACCCATTTAAGTGAGCTCAGCTACTAAGTTTGTTCCATCCACCACCGCTGAAGAAAGGTCCAGAGCTGCTCTTTTCTCTCCCTCTATTTCCCCCCTTTTTTGTCCCGCACACGCATCCATTCCAAGGCTGCCTGGGCGAGCCTGGCAAGGACAAACAGGCCACTCCGCTTCGCAGTCTTAAAGACCACTGTGCTAACGAGACGCTGCAACTCCGGAGCACAACTACATTGCAGCCTCTCTGCTTTTTGTGTTTGTTTGTTTGTCTTACACTCAGGATCTAAACGTTTCTCTGAACACCAAGAGCATGAAACCCAATAAACTCCAGCTGAGCAGTGTCAGAAAACCCTTCTCTCTCTCTCCCCCCGTCTCTCTCCCAATCTCTCTTTCCTTGCCTGGCACAGACCTCCAATCCATCCTGAAATGCAACTCTCCTGACAGATGCCAAAAAGGGAGAGAGAGCGAGGGGGGGAGCAAAAAAAAAAAAAAAAGAAAAAAAGCCCACATGACACAAATGCAAGATTTCAGAAAACAGGATCAATTCATCCCGGCTATGGGGGCTTGGCTTGGGGTTGGCTTTATTTTGTTGCAAGTGCTTTTGCTTTCCCATTCCGTTGCCCGCTACTTTCCAAACTCCCCCTTGCAGAGGACAGTCTCCCTGCCTGCTTTTTTTCCCCCACCAGTGACACCTTCCCGAGGAGTGGGGGGGATTGCGAACCCCCCCACACACACACATCCCCCCCCACACACACCCCATCCCATTCAGCTGAGGCTCAGCGCCTCTGCGCTGCATTGCCTGAGCTTCCTGCTGCCCCCCAGCC